CCACAGTCATCGACCACTACTACCACTTTGCTGCTGAATTGCTACTGGGCACCTGGCGTGTCCACGCGACGCTGGACCCACACATCACTGCCGAGGCGCACTCTTCCATTGAGCCGCCCGCGCGTGCGTGGTTCCTGCACCACGAGCCGAACCAGTGGCGCGACCACCCCAAGTTCAACCCCACGATCATGTACGGCTGCTTCCCGAACACGGCACTTCTGTTCCCTCAGGACATGGACGACCTCCGCCAGGTGACTGCCAGCGAGTACCGCAAGAAGGCATATGTGTTGGACAAGGCGATCCTCGCGGACCGCTCTGCCGCCTTCCGCGGCCCTTACACCGGCCCAACATCTCGCACGGTCGCAGGTGCCACCGCCTTGGGCAATGTTAGCCGCTGGTGGTGGGAGCCGATCCGCCGGCAGGTGCTCCGCTTCTCCGAGGTTCCCGAGGAGATCATCAGCCGCAACCTGGAGGGGTACGGCGCCGTCGACCCCGTTGAGTGGGAAGGCAAGACTGCTGCTGAGATCGGGTACACCCCGCTCAAGCCGGCTGGAGACTACAAGCCCGTCGTCACCTATATCTCGCGCCAGAAGTCGCGCCGCCGCCTCACGCCTGAGTCACATAACAAGCTCGTCGCCGCGCTCAAGGAGAAGGCGGAGAAGGTTGGCTTCGAGTTGATCGTCGTTGAGGCTGAGCGATACACGAAGGAGGAGCAGTTCGCAATCGCCGGCAAGACGACAATCATGCTCGGTGTGCACGGCAACGGTCTGTCGCACCTGCTCTGGATGCCCGCGACGCCCAGATCCGCGGTCATCGAGATGTTCTACCACGGCGGCTTTGCGCGTGACTGTGAGTACTGCGCTGCGCAGCTTTGTGAAATACGCTGACCCTCTAGACCAATGGACGGCGCACGCCCTCGGTATCCGCCACTTCGCAGTCCAGCACGACCAGTACCGTACATCGCCCAACCTGTATCGTGTCGACTACCCCGAGGGTTTCCAGGGGAATCAGATTACGGTCGACGCGGCAACAGTTGCGAACCTGATCGAGGCGCGTTTGACAGGCAAGGCATAGGGTGGGGAGAGGGGAGGCGCAGCCTTGAGGGCTATCTCACGAAATCTGGCGCAGACAACCATGTCGCCCGGTCATCATGTTTCCAATGCATATCTTGTTTAATACGGCGGGCGGTGCATGTGCTTCTCTTCTCTCGTCACTGCCCGTCACTGAGTTCTGACGGTACCAGCTGACGCGAATGTAGGTCGCCTTGTGCGCCTAGTGCAGTTCTGGAGCGTGGGCTGTGCATGTGCCCTTGGCACACCCCTTGTAGCTTGTTCTCGTCCTCATCTCGCTTCCAAACCACCTCTCATATAATAGTAACATACAATATATCACTCTACCCGGCCAGAACGGCACGACGCACCTCCATCCCCGCGCCGCCGACGGCAAGAATCTGCTCCGTCGCCAGCGCATCGAGTTTCTCCAGCTGCTCGCGGCTGCTCGTCGAACGATCTGGCACGGCAGTATCGACGCGCTTAGCCGTGGACTCGAGCAAGCGGCGGCTCGCCTTGCGTCAGCGCACTCTCGACGCACACGCACCATCTTGACGCCCCACCACGCGCGCGAGCGATGTCCCTCCGCCTTGCCGGCGGGGGGCGTCTCCATCTCCGCCGCGCGAAGATAGTACTTGAGCGCGAGCTGGTAGTCGCTACCGTAAGCGGCGTCCTTTACGCTACCTACCCCATGGTATACGCGGTCTCTGCGGCGCGCACGACCGCCATGCTATCCCACGTCTGGAGGACCATGAGATGCCCCAACGCCGTGAGGCTCTGCGCATACGCGCCCGCGTCCGCATACATCTCCGCCAGCAGGCTCCATGCCTGCGGATCCGCGTAAAACGTGTCGAGGTACTTGAGCAGGCGCGTGATGATCTCCTCCCGCGTAGACGCGAGCACGATGAAGCGCTGCAGCGCCGCCACGTTCGTCTCGTCTTTCTGCAGCAGCTGCTTGTACACGCCCGCGGCACGGGACAGGTCGCCGAGCGCCTCGAGCTTGAGGCCGAGGAGGATGTCGACGCGCGGCGACTTGGGGAAGCGCGCTTCGAGCGCGCGGATTTGTGTCTGGCGTCAGCGGAAACGCGGGGCGGCGCACGTTCGCCAGCTCGACCTGGCCGAGGTCGAGGGCTGCGATGGCGAGCTGTTCTCGTACACTCCATTCTGGCGTTAGCGAGGAGGAAGGGGGAGAGGCAGGGGGGAAAGACACACCGGCGTCGCCTAGCCCGCCTGAGGCGAGAACTTTGGGCGCGAGATTCACGACCTGCTGCGAGTTCCGCGCACCGAGTGTGCGCCAGCTGGCGAGCTGGTCCATGTCGGCTTGGGACATGGTGATGGCGGTGATGGAAGCGCGCCTGAATTCGGCAAGTGGAGGTCGGCGTGGCATGCAGGTGGAGGTGGGGTTGGTAGGCGTGGGGCAGGCCGCAGGATCGCTGTCGAGTGGAAGCTTGCACGTGGCAAACGCCGCTAATCCCGGTGCCTGGACTGTCAAGGTCAACCGACTCTCAAGTCGGAACGGCTCTCCCCCTCACCCAGCGACGCTCACCGTACGAAACCCTCACCGTAGCGCGAATTTTGGGAACTTCACCGCTCAACTCGCTACCACACACAAAGCTCGCACTGTGTTTCAACTCGCGAATTCCTACATCAACATCTCCACATCCTCCATCCATCTTACATCCCGCCCGTCTTCTTTCCGCCAACTCGCTCGCACACGCTCCCCACTGCATAAATTCCCCTCCGACATATCGCTCAGCCTCACGCCACCTCCGACGAGCTCGACGCCCGAATCCAACTCTTGTATGGGCCGCTCGGGTGGTCAGTCACGCGCCTGACCACCTCCACCTCCCCTTTCACCCTCAACCATGGCCGCGCCTCCGCAGAAGAGGCCCCGCAAGGCATCCACAGCCGGTGCCGGCGGCCCTCCCTCCGTCGAGCAGTCGGCGTCTTCAACGCCAGTGTCGGGCGGCGCGGGGACTTCGACGCACGCCGGACCGCCGCCAAGCGGCATCGCGCCAACAAATGCGACGCAGACACCAACGACGGGGCCCATGACGGTGCCCGAGTGCGAGTCGCTTGCCGCACAGCTCGTCGACACAAATACGCCCATGCGCCGCCGCATGGAGATTGCTAGCGAGCTTCGCGACTCGGCTGAGAGCAACCGTGATTTCGCGTTCTACGACAAGTACCTCGGCGTCTTCATTCCGGCGCTCGTTCAGATTCTCGGCGAAGAGAAGAATATCGTCTTCACCAAGGACAACTCGGAGCAGCGCTTCCGGCACACACTTCTCGCCTATCTCCAGCGCTTGCCGCACTCGGAGCCCTTCCGCCAGTATGAAGCCAAGGTGCTCGATCTCATGGTCAAGTTGCTCAAGGTTGAGAACGAGGACAATGCCTTGCTCTGCATCAAGATAATGATTGACGGGTTCAGGAGTCACAAGGACCAGGCGGAGCCGTTCGTTGAGCCATTCTTGGATCTCGTCAAGCAGATGTACGCCAACCTCAAGGGTGTAGTCGAGAAGGAGTGGGGAACGCCAGGAGGCAAACAGGTGTGTCGTTCGCTCTCTACTTGCTGACATCAAGGGCTCGGCCAACCCCGGCACACCAGCGAGCGACGGTACTAACGCCCCCGCACCCCATCACCCTCCTACCTCTCATTCCCACCTCGCACACGCGCTGCACTCGCCCAAGGTGCTCACCGAGTGCCCAATCGCCGTTGTCCTCATATTCCAGACCTACAAGTCGGTCATGGGCCCAGCAATGCTCGATCTCTCCCCTCTCGTCATGGAGAGCATCAAGATCCAGCCCGAGCCACAACGTCTAGCTCACATCGAGGCTAAAGAGCGCGGCGAGATATTCGTCGGCGTGGCGCCGAGCATCACCAACCGCGAAATGTACGCCGAGCTCATCAAGACAGAGGTCAAGACCATGGCGTTCCTCGCCTACGTTTTGCGCGGCAGTTCGCAGGCCAACGTCAAGGACTGCCTGGAAGTGTTCCCCGAGGCGTGCATTCGCCTGTTGCGCGACTGCCCACCCGAAGATGTCAGCACCCGAAAGGAGTTGCTCGTCGCCACCCGTCACATCCTGACTGCCGACTCGCGTGCCTCCTTCATCCCCTACATCGACACCCTGCTGGAGGAACGAGTGTTGGTCGGCACAGGTGTGTCCAGTCGGGAAGCTCTGAGGCCTCTGGCATCGTCTGTCGTGGCCGACCTTATTCACCACGTCCGCCAAGATCTTCCCATCGCCCAGCTCAAGCGTGTCGTTTATGTTTTCTCGTTGAATCTGAACGACTCTACGTTCTCCAGCTCCATTCAGACCATGTGCGCCAAGCTTCTTAACACCATCGTCGACTCCATATCGCAGAAGGGCAGCCCGGAGGAGCGCGAGGCGCTCATGAAGTCGATGTTCATCGCTTCGCTCGAGAAGCTGCAGGCGATGACCGAGGCGTACGACAAGCTCAAGGCGTTGGCCGACCGCGACAAGGCCCAGGGGAAGGACAAGGGCAAGGATGAGGTCAAGGACGAGAGGCGTGACGACAAGGAGGACGGGGATAAGGATGCGAAGGACGGCGAGAAGGACAAGGACGACGACGACGATGCGAAGGGCTCTCCTGAAGACATCGTCATGGCAGACCTTGCAGAAGACGCCGAGGCTGAGCGCCTGCAGTTCGGCTGGCGCGAGATTGAGAGGGCGATGCCGGTCAACCAGGTCGCATACGCCGACGACTCATTGGAAACCTTCTGTCGCGAAGCACGATACCTGTTCAAGACGTTGCTCCACACCTTCCGCACGCTCATGTCGTACACGCGTACGAGCGAGAACCCAGTGCCTCCGCCCGACGGAGAACTCCTCTCGCGGTTCTTCCAGTATGCTCTCCGTTGCATCGCGATCTTTGACAGCACGCGCGACCCACGCGAGCCCAAGGAAGCGATAGAGCTGCTCTCGCAGATTCTGCTGCTCTTCGACCCCCACTCGTTCCGCGAGGTCTGGGCCACGCACATGGAGTTCTTCGTGGACCAGGCGCTGAAGAATTCTCACGTCTTCTCGGTGCTGCAAATCTTGATCACGCACGAGTCGGTCTCGCACCAGCTGGTCGCTATCACGCTCAAGCACCTCATGACACACCTCGACGAGGTCGGCAGCTACTCGTTGAAGAAGGCTAGCCTCTGCCTCAGATTGTTCAAGATCTCCTTCCTCGCCATCAACACGTACATCAACACCAACGAGGTCGTGCTGGTGCCGCATCTGCAGAAGCTCATCATGCGCTCCTTTGCCCTTGCCCCCAAGGCCGAGGACCCAACTGTGTACTACCAGATCCTGCGGGCTCTGTTCCGCTCTATCGGCGGTGGCCGCTTCGACCAGCTGTACAAAGAAGTCCTCCCCATCTTGCAGGAGATGCTCGACAACCTCTCATACTTGTTGCACCACGCCAAGGATCCAGTACAGCGCGACCTCTTTGTCGAGTTGACCCTCACTGTTCCTGTGCGCCTCACCAACCTTCTACCCCACCTATCTTATCTCATGAAGCCGCTGGTGCACGCTCTACAGGCCGGTCCGGAGTTGATCAGCCAGGGCCTTCGCACCTTGGAGCTCTGTATCGACAATCTGACTGCCGACTTCCTCGACCCAACCATGAACCCCGTGTTCCGCGAGCTTATGGGCGCGCTGCACAAGCTTCTCAAGCCGATACCTGCCAATCGCCAACACTCCCACGCCGCGGTCAAGATCCTCGGCAAGCTCGGTGGGCGCAACCGCCGCTTCTCGGATGTTGAGAATCTCCTGGAATATCGTGAAGATGCGAACGATCTGACCGCGCCAATCTCGTTCGAGGGCAAACGTTCCAAGTTCTATTTGGCACCTCTGATCGACGCCGCTGGTCAAGCCATGTCGGAGAAGCTCGCCGTGTGCGAGGTGGACGGCTTGGATGCCCTCATGCTGGCGGCAACGACTCGTTTAAACCAGGAGAAGCAGGACCCCGATGCGTCACCGGTGTTCGCCAAGACGGTCAGCTCGCTCTTTGTCGCCTGCCATCATCCGGCTCTCGGGCCAAAGGCGACTGAGTTCGTCCGCGACCTCTGCAAGCGAGTTTTCCTCGCCGAACTCAACCGCGTTGACGAGGTCCCACCAGGCCCCAAGCTGCCGGAACTATCCCCGAAGAGCCGACCGCTGCCGCTCACCATGGCGCTTACGGACGCCATCGCCACCACCATGGCCAATTCGATCGGCAAGGCGGTTGAGGACGTCGCCGAAATTCTCGCCCTTATCATCAGCGACTTCAAAGAGCTTGTGCTGACGCCTGAAGTTACTCAGAGGCCAGAGAAGAGCAAAATCATTGACCGCTTCGTCGGCACTTTTGTGCGCCGCTTCACAAGTCTCTGCCAGGACGAGGACTGGGACCGCAAGATGGCGGGTGTGACCGCCATGGACGTCTTTGTGCGTCGGGCCGAGCTCAACCGGCGCTACATCCTCGAGATGCAGTTTGAGTTCGTGCGCGTGCTCATGTTCGCGCTGCGCGACGCCCCTCGCGACCCGCCTACTTCCGTCCAGAAGATAATCGACTTGATCAAGTTCCTCATCCGCTCATGCCAGTCGCAGGAGGACGGGCAGGTCAAGCAGAAGCGGGACCGCCTGACGGAGATCCTTGTCCGCGAGCTCAACAGCCAGAGCAAGCTTGCTCGTGAGGCGGCGCAGTCATGCATCGCGCTCCTGGCTGAGGTTGTCGATCAGCCCGTCTCGATCGTTATTGGCGACTTCACGCGCTCGGTATTGCTGGACGCCAACACAGGTCCCATCTTTTCCAAGCCGCTGCGAGCGCTTTCTTCCTTTGCGATGCAGGTCGGCAACATTGATTGTGTCACCTACCTCCTTGACCTGCGCCCTTCTGTGCCCAAAATCAACGACGAGTTTATACGTCTCGTACAGGAGGTGCTTGCGTTGGCCGACGTCGACGATGCCAACCTGATCCCAAACAAGCGTGGCGAGACCCCGAGTCACAAGCAAAGCTTCTGGCTGAAGGAGCTGCGCATCGCTTGCCTCCGCATGCTCCGCTCGACGATGAACTGCCAAGAGTTCCTCGAGAAGCAGAACCTCCAGCCCATCCGCCAGCGTATAATCTCTGTGTACTTCAAGCACGTGTACTCGCCGCAGCCCGAGATCGTCGATGTCGCGCATGAGGGCCTGCGCGACGTGATTCACCAGCAGAACAAGCTGCCGAAGGAAGTGCTGCAGTCCGGCCTGCGTCCGATCTTGGTCAACTTGGCGGACGCTAAGCGCCTCAGCGTATCCGGCCTTGAGGGCTTGGCGCGATTCCTGGAGCTGCTTACCAACTACTTCAAGGTCGAGATCGGTGTCAAGCTATTGGATCACTTCACAACGCTTGCCGACCAGCAGATGCTGCTCAAGGCTGCGGCCGGGCCGCTCGACGACAACCCGGACATCTCTCGCATGACACGTCTTGTTAACATCTTCCGCCTTCTCCCCGCGACCGCCGTCCAGTACCTCAAGCAGCTTACAACACAGGTTGTTGAGGTTGAGGCCCAGCTGCATCAGTCAGCCCCTGGTCCGTTCACGGAGAACATTGCGCGCTACCTCGACCGTTACCATGCTGAGGGCGCTGCCAACCTCTTCGAGAACATCCGGAACCCGCGCATGGTGTGGACGTACCGCAACGTCATCCAGTCCGGGTTCGCTCCGCAGCTCGTTACCGAGCTCTCTGACCGCGCCGAGGCCATCTGCCACCTCACGTTCGCCAACCCTGAGCAGTTTGACCTCGTGCTTCCAGGCTTGTACATCATCCGTGAGCTGTCCAAGACATCGCCGTCGTGGCTCTCAGACCACGAGTCAGTTATGGAGGCGATCGTGGGCGTGTGGCGCTCGATCGTTCTGCGATCAAGAGATCCAAGGAATGACATGTCGAATGTCCACTACCAGACGATCCCGCCGCTCATCCTCGACATGTTCATGACCCGCTTGGAACACCGCAACCACATTCCACTGTTGTTCCACGTCGTTGAGGCGTACGAGATCCGCTCCTCGTTCGATCGCTCCCACGTCGCCTTCTTCCTCTACCAGCGCGTCGCGCTGCAGCAGTCGCTCGAGTACCGTCGAGAGGTTATTGAGTACTTCATGACGTTGTATCCCGACGAGTCGGTTGTGACATGGGCCTTCAAGACAAACGCACTGCGCCTTGTTGTGAACCCAACTCTTCGCGTGTACTTCGATGACAAGGAGAACGACGGGTCGCTCATCACGACCAGCTTGGTGCAGAAGATCGCCGACAGCATGTGGCGTCCACTCTCTGCTACGCCCACTGCTAAGCAGCGCGAGGACACGCTCCTCATCGAGATTTTCGCGCTTACGACGCTGCTTGTGAAGCACGCTGGCTCCAAGGTCGTCGAGACGCGGAAGGAGGTCTTCAAGCTCGCGTGGATGGGCATCAACCTCCTCGAGCCCACGGTCAAGCTCATGGCTTACGTCCTCACGGCGTCGTTTATGGCTACGTACGAGACTCCCGTCAAGTTCGTACGCCTCACATGGACTGGTCTGCTTCGTCTCAAGGACAACGAGAGCAAGGCGCTCTTCCGCCAGGCAATCGATACTCTCGCCGGCTGCCTTCCCATCCGCGACCCCCCTCAGCCCGGAACGATCCCTGACTGGGCGCAGAAGGTCAAGACGGTCCTGGTTGAGGAGGGCCATGCTACTGGCACTCTTGTTGTTGTCTGCGAGTTGCTCGTGAACCACCCCGATCTCTTCTACGACTATCGCGACCTCTATGTTCCGCACATCGCGATGTCGCTGCAAAAGCTTGGCTTCGTGCAGGCCGCCACCGCTGAAATGAAGAAGCTCACGGTCGACGTCATTGAGCTCATTTTCCGCTGGGAGCGCAAGCGCATGCAGCTCAAGGAGGAGTCGAGCCGCGAGGAGTCGGCTGACGCGATGGATGTGGACAAGGATGCCCCTTCGCCCGCCAAGCGCCAGCGTCTCGACAGGGCTGGCACGGCCGGGTCAACCGCCAGCGGCGGCGGCTGGGTAACCCCCGCGCCGACGCGCGAGTTGATCACTGCCCACCTCCTGCGAATCGTGGCTTCGTCGACGGAGCCTGTTGCCCGCAGTGGACTGAGCAAGCGCGCGCTGGACCTCTTCAAGGAGATTCTCAGCCCCAAGGGTCTCCCAAATGTGTCGGTCAAGCTTGGCTTCTTCAACCGCACCATGTCGCAGGACATCACCGAGGCTACGATCGCGACCGTTTCCAATTCGACGGAGGTGATTGCGGCCGTCGCCGAGGTCCGTGACCAGTCCTGGATACGCGGCAAGCTCGACATCTTCCGGAAGCTGCTTGAGAAGGTGTGGGTGTACGACGACCCGACTCTTCACGAGGTTGTGCGCCCCCTCACAGAGCGTATGTTCCTGGAGCTTCCCGAGGAAGAGGTGGCGGACAGCGACGAGGAAGGCCAGAAGCTGCTCAAGTTCGTGTCGACTACCGTCAGCAACGGCCTGCAGGCCAGTCTGCGCTCCACGACTGAGCTGCCCGGCACCATCTTCCTGCTCAAGTGCTGGCTCAAGGTGCAGCCGAAACAGCTGCACAACGAGAATATCGCGTCCAGCCTGCTTCGCGTCCTGAGCAACCTTGTCAAGGTGCACACGAGCACAAACGGCCCAGACCCGAGCTACCGTCTCATCATTTCCATCCTTGACATGCTGCGTGACCGCATCGCCGACCTCAAGGAGCACCGGCGGTACCTCGTCAACATCCTCGGCGCTCTCATTGACAAGAGCACCAACCTTACGCTGTGCCGATACTTGCTCGACCTCGTGCGCCAGTGGGTCATCAAGGACATCGATGGACCGATCATCGTCAAGGACAAGTCGTTGCTGCTCCTGCGCATGGCATCGTTCGAGCACCGCGATGATGCGCTGTTCAAGCAGTACCTGGACCTCATATTTGAGGTATACGAGCTGCCCGAGCTCATGGGAACGGACATAACGCACCGCCTTGAGCCGGCCTTCCTCCTCGGTACGCGTTCCAAGGACCCCGCGCAGCGGGCCAACTTCCTTGACAAGCTTGAGCAGACGTTGCCTCCGCGACTCGAGGCCCGCCTGGAGTATCTGTACTCGCTACAGAGTTGGGAAACGCTCGCCGACAGCTACTGGATGCCCCAGATGCTTAGCCTTCTGCTTGGGGCCGCCGACTTCGCGAACGACATTTTCCCCGCTTCGCTGACGATGGTCGGCGAGAACAACGCGCTAGCAAGCAGGACCTGGCGCTACGGCGACGTGGTCCGGCAATTGCGCAGTCTCGTTCATGTCGATCCGATGGTGTGCCACCGCCTTTTCGTGGCCATCTTCCCCCGAGTGTGGAGCGCGTTATCGCGCTCTCAGCAGACAGCGTTTACGCCATACATCTCCAAGCTGCTGTGCAAGGAGTACCATCACAAGCAGGCTGATCTCAAGCCAAATGTGATACAGACTCACCTCGAGGCGTTCGTCTACTGCAAGCCGCCCATCACCATGCCACCGCTCCTCGTCAAGTACCTTTCCAAGACTTTCAACGCGTGGTACGCTGGCTTCGAGATCCTTAACAACTTGGCCGACACGTATAAGGGTACAGACAACCTGCGCGAGAGCTGCGCGGCGGCTCTTGGCGAGCTGTATGCTGAGCTGCACGAGGACGACATGTTCTACGGCAACGCCCGCTGCCGATACATCTACCCCGAGACGTCGGCTGCCCTGATCCTGGAGCAGAACGGACGCTGGCCGCAGGCCATGGAGATGTACGAGCAGACGATGACCAAAGCACGACACGCCGCGCTGCCGTTCACCGAGGACGAGTTCTGCCTGTGGGAAGACCACTGGATCCTGGCTGCGCAGAAGTTGCAGCATTGGGAAGCGCTCACTGAGCTTGCTCGTTCGGACCAGAACCCCGACCTCTTGCTTGAGTGCGCGTGGCGACTGTCCGACTGGGGCTCGACCGACCGCGAAATGATCGAGAGCAACTTGAAGGTGGTCGCGGGGGTACCGACCCCGCGCCGCAAGATATTCGAGGCGTTCACTGCGCTCATTAAGGCACACGGCTCGCGCGAGCCGCCCAACGATTTCGTGCGCATCTTGGACGAGGCGCAGCAGGTCGCCATACGCAAGTGGACCACGCTGCCCAGTGCCATCACTGGAGCGCACCTGCCTCTCCTACAGCTGTTCCAGCAGGTGGTGGAGCTCGGCGAGGCAGCCCAGGTATTCGACTCGCTTCAGCAGACGACGGCCCAGACACTCGAGACCCGCGTTAACACCGAGCTCAAGAGCATCTTCCAGACGTGGCGCGACCGCCTGCCGAACTTCTGGGACGACATCAGCGTGTGGTCCGACCTCCTCGCATGGCGCCAGCACGTCTTCCAGGCCGTCACGCGTGTGTACATGCCTATGATAACACCCACCGAGGGTGTGACGCACGGATACCGTGGATACCACGAGACGGCGTGGATGATCAATCGCTTCGGCGAGGTCGCGCGCCGCCACGGGTTGCTTGATGTGTGCAGCACGGCGCTCAACAAGATCTATATGCTCCCTAACATCGAGATCTCGGAGGCGTTCCTCAAGCTGCGCGAGCAGGCGCTCTGCTACTTCCAGAAGCCGGAGAAGTTCAACGAGGGTCTCGACAACATCAGCACGACCAATCTCATGTACTTTGCCCAGCCGCAGAAGGCCGAGTTCCTCACGCTCAAGGGCATGTTCATCTCGCGCCTTGGCCAAGACTCGGACGCCAACGACGAGTTCGCGCATGCCGTCCAGATGGACTACAACCTCCCGAAGGCGTGGGCCGAGTGGGGCAAGTTCAACGAGAAGATGTATCGCCAGCAGTCCGAGCTGCCGCCAGCGAGCAACAAGCCGGCTCCCGGGCCGGGCGAGAAGCCCATGACGGACCAAGAGTGGGCCGAGTCGTGGGCGACGGACCGCGCATTGCGCGCCTCGTCGGCTGTCTCTTGCTACTTGCAGGCGGCTGGCCTGTACAACTCGCACAAGTCGCGGGCACTCCTCCTTCGGGTGCTGTGGCTCTTGGGCTTGGACGATAGCAAGAACACGATAGCCAAGGCGTTTGAGGCTTACAAGGGCGACCTCGTCATCTGGTACTGGATCACTCTCATCCCGCAGCTTTTGCTGTCGCTGTCGCACCGCGAAGGCCAGATCGCGCGGCTTCTCCTCATGCACATCGCCAAGAACTTCCCGCAAGCGCTGTTCTACAATCTTCGCGTCACGCGGGATGACTTCTCGAGCGTCAAGAAAAGCCAGGCGCTCCAGCAGCACCGTGCCAATCTCGCCAAGCGGGAGGCTGCCGCCAAGGCTGCTGCTGCCGCCGCGGCAGTTGTTGCGGCTGAGGTCAAGAAGGAGGACGGCGGCGAAGTCAAGGCCGACGCCAAGGAAGAGAAGAAGGACGAGGATGTCTCCACGCCCGCGTCCAACGGCACACCCAATCCCAACGGCGCTATGGCACCGCCCGCTGCACCTGGTCCTCGCCAGCCCCGCCAGCCGTGGGAGATGGTCGATGATATCATCAACCACCTCAAGACGGGTGTACCTTTGCTTGCTTTGTCGATGGAAAAGATGGTCGATCAGATTGGCTACCGCGCCAAGCCGTCGTCTGAAGAGGACATCTACCGCTTCTTCTCGGCTCTGCTCAACGACGCTATGGCGCAGTGGAGCAGCCGCGGCGCGTTCCTCAGCGAGGACGCCGAGCTGCCGCAGAACACGCGCGAGAACTTGAAAAGGTTCGCTAACAACCTCTCCCCCGAGCTCCGCGGATGTGTCGAGCGCGACTTCATCACCAACCAGCCCAACATGCGCGAGTACATCACACGGTTGCAGTTCTGGCGCGACTACTATGAGAAGGCGATCGACTCGCGTCCGCGCTTCAGCCCTCTCGACTCGTCCGGCATCAACCTCACTGACTTCCACTACACCAAGTTCGAGGACGTGGAGGTGCCGGGCCAATACGTGCAGCACATCGATCAGACGGACGAGCTCATTCGCATCGCACGCTTCCACCCGCAGGCCGCGATGTGCCGTGGCTTTGGCTTCTGCTTCCGTCGCATCGCGATGATCGGGCACAACGGCACACCGTACACGTTCAACGTGCAGATGCCGGCGGCGCGTCACTGTCGCCGCGAGGAGAGGCTTGTTCAGCTGTTCCGGATCATGAACTGCGTCCTGCGCAAGCGCAAGGAAAGTCGCCGCCGCAACCTCCAGTTCCACCTTCCCACAGCCATTGCGCTCGGCACACAGCTCCGCCTCGTCCAGAACGACGCATCGTACGTCTCCATGCAGGAGATCTACGACGACTACGCGGCCAAGCACGGTATGAGACACGAGGATACGATCTTGCATTTCTGCGACCGCCAGAGACAGCTTCACGACCCTGCTGTGCCCCGCACCGACCACCGCTTCGTTGTGCTCAAGATGGAGATCATCGAGGAGATCCAGTCCAAGATGTTGCCCGAGACGGTCTTGACCAACTACATGATCCGCAACATGGCCGACTCGGAAAGCCTGTGGCTCATGCGCAAGCAATTCGCCATGCAGACTGCAGCTACCGCCTTCCTCACCTACGTGTGCTGCCTCAACAACCGCGCACCGAGCCGCTTCCACATCTCGCGCAAGACAGGCCAGATGTTCATGACGGAGATGCTGCCATGTAAGTCCCGCGCGACGCATCTAGTCCGAGCGTTAACCCCAGCCTTTGTCAACGGCCAGCCCGTCTTCCACTCGGCCGAGGCCGTGCCCTTCCGCCTCACGCCCAACATGCAGCACTTCATTACCCGCGTCGGCATCGAGGGCGTCGTGTCCTCGACCGCGACTGCCATCGCCCACTCCCTCACGCTCCCCGAGTTCGACTTGGCGAGCACGCTGCACCTGTTCATACGCGACGAGATTCTCACGTGGCAGAACACGTTTAACAAGGACAAGCATAGCGATGTGCCTCTCACTGCGCATGTGTACAAGAATGTCGACCAATTTATCAAGCGCGCCGAGCTCATGGGCCACATCGGCGACGTGCCAAAGGACTCGAAGGCCGTTGGCGGGCCGGCCATCAACCACGCGATGGTCACGCTCATCAACCAGGCCACGGCGCCGACCCTGCTCGCCAGCATGAGCGAGCAATTCCAGTGCTGGTTCTAAGCGGGAAAGATGGGGCGAGGGAGAGTTGAGGCGAGCGTCTCCGCAACAACACAAATCCAGTTTCGTATGATCTCCTTCAGGTTAATTGTAGTCTTTACTCTGTAGTTGTAGTGTTAGAATGCATCCTCTATGGATACGGTACATTCCGTTACTGTCCCTGTAACCGCGTCACAACCGCTGCGAGGCGGCGATAGTCGCGCAGCAGCGTGCCCACCTCGCTGAGCCGGATATCCCCCACTTCGCAAGTCATGAAGCGCTCAATCGGCCCATCGTCGGGCGCGAGCAGCGTCCCACTCGGACTCCTCGGCAAGCGGCGCTTGGACAGCGTCGCGAAGAAGCCGTCCTTCCCAGCTCCAGGAGGCGCCGTCACAACAGGTGTAGAGGGCTTCTCAGGCAAGGCCGCGGGGCCGCCCTCAGCCAAGCGGGCGCCGAGCGAGGAGAGGCGCGCGTTCACACCCTCGCGCTCGCGCTCGCGCGAGCCATCGCGCATCATAGAGCTGACGCTGACGATTGAGCGGGCGCGCGAGGGGCGCTCATCGAGCTCCTCCTCCTCCTCGATTGGAGACGTCACGCGCCCGCCCTCGTGCCCCTCCTCGTCGCTATGCGCGCCGGGAGGCACCTCGACGAGCTCGCGCCCTTGCTGCGCTGCTTCGCTCGACGCGCGTGAGCGCGTACGCGCCGCAGCCGTGCTCGCCGCCGCAGCGATATTCGCGACGCTCGCAGTGACGGAAGCAAGCGAGAAGGTCGAGCTCTGCCGTGGCCGACCCGTGGGCCTCTCCTCTTCCGCGGACGACATGAAGCCGCGCAGGACGGAGATGCCGCCCTCCACGGCGCCGAGCACTCGTGTGGCGCCGTCCGCTGCGCTGCCGGCCAGATCAGGCAGGAGGCGGCCCTTGATCCGGCTGCTGGCTGAGGCGATGGCGGCGTCGTCCATGTCCCCCAGCGAGATGGGCGCGAGATCCGCCACACTCATTACGCGCTCGCTCGAGTCCAGGCCCAACTCGGAGAGCTGGACGTGTTCGAGGAACTCGACGACAGCGGTGAGATTCACGATGGCGTACGACGCCTCGCCGGCCAGGCAGATGGCAGAGCGGTAGCGGCGGAGATACATGAGTTGGGAGGCGAGCTGCAGGGGATTGGCCTTAACGACCGCAAAGATTATGAGGGGTAGAATGAGGTCTGCGCCAGATGTGGAAGGCTTGGGCTTCTCAGGAACCTCGGTGGCCGGTTGTAATGATGCCGCAGCCTTCTTCTCCTGCTCGGTCGCTTCACGTGGCTCATCTGTCTTCGCAAACGTCTTCGCTCCCTCTTCCCCTGCTGAGGTCTCGGCGCTGTCATCGGCGGGCTCAGGCGTCGGGGCACCCGGTGTCCCCGCCTCTACGAGCTCCGTCCCCTCGCCGTTGGGATCTGAGACGCGCAGCTCGGGTGTGTCGCTCTCGGGGACGGTCTCCGGCTCCTCCGGGATATACGGTTCACCTTCAGGTCTAAGATCTATGCGTGGCAACCGTGCCAGCCCGTCTAGAGTTAGTACCTTCTGTGGCTGTTGAACTCACCAACAGCAATCGTATGGGCATGGACGAGCACGTCTGCCTTGTCCTTGGGCGTAAGGCAGTTGGCCCTTGAGAGCTTCTGCAGTTCTGTCATCAGTTCCTGTTCAACGTCTATCCTCACCTCGACCAATGTCGTCCACGAGCTCGGCGAGACCGCGCGCAACGGCACCCTTATCCGCCTCGCCTGAAGGCCGTGTAATGAGCCCGAGATGGTCGAGACTTAGGTCGAGCATGTTGAGCGCGGCGATGCGGCTGGCAAGAGCCTCATCGTGTCTCGAGTCGTCAGAGTTGAGCGGCGAAAAGATGCGGTTGTGCAGCAGCCGGCACACGAGGGCCTCAACGCGCTCTGTTCCATCGCCCGCCTCGTCCTCGATATATCCTTCGTGTGCCTCCTCATCGTGCTCCCACTTCTTGGGTCCCTCGGCGCGGAAGTGCCTCACGAGGTCATCATACACGCCCTCCATGAAGTCTTGAGACCTCTCGCCCGCAAGTGTCGGATTTGAAAAATCAAGGGGTACGTCGCTATCACCGCCGAGGGCGTGGTGATGTGCCTTGAGGAGGGCTGAGTCGCCTGAGGCGGGGCACACGGAGCCAGTGACGAAGCGGAGCACTTTGTCGATCACGCGATCTGGCAAACCCTCGAGCTCTGTGCGAACGGCGCCACGGACAGCCGTGATGAGTGCCTTGTGCACCTCGGCGTACCGAATCCCGCGGTCGATCACGTATGCGATGACAGAATAGCCATCGCCATGGTCGTCCTCCAGGCTGAGCACGCTTGGTTTCGGCGAGCTGCGTCCGCTGGCGTTGGGACTCGCGGGCCGGTCCGGGCTCAGTGCGCCGGCAGTCCGTGGTGTGCTGGAGCTGCTCCCAAACAAAGACATGAAGGGGTATCGGCGGGGATCGGGGCGCTTCTCGGGTGCACCTCGCCCGAGCGGCGGGAACGCAAGGGGCGTGCTTTCCGACGCGAGGCTGAAGGCTGGATAGGGTGAGGGGAGGGGGGAGGAAAGCGTGGGCGCGGCGAGGTGGGTCGGGCGCAGGCGACTGAGGACGTCTGCGCGATATTCCTCTTGCCGGAGGGCATGGAGGAGCTGAGAGTCGGCGGGAACGCATGACTCGAAGGTCACAGTGCCACTTTGCAGCGATCCCACTAGGCCGGAGAGGGTGACCAGTACGCTTGCTGGCCCGGAGGGAGTGGAAAGCGCGGGCGATAGGAAAGCAATGTGGTCACGTAGCGTCTGTGGTGTCATGGGCAAGCTCGACGCGGGCGAGGAGGGGAGGAGGATGATCGCCTGTCGTTAGCCCTGTCCGCTCAAGTACTCACCTTGCCAGTGGTAAGAGCTTTGAAGAGGTCAGCCCAGTCGCCATCGGCGCGCACGCGCGCGCCCTTCTCGAATAGGGAGTCGACCATGCCCATTCCCATGCTCCCATTGTTGAGCCCGATACGCTGTGCGGCCGCTTTGAGGCTCTGCAGCTGCAGCCGCCCAGCGGCACCAGCTTCTTCGGGCGCAAACGCAGCGACTGTGCTTGTAGTTATCGCTGGGGGGGCCGGCTGTGGCTGCGTGCTCGGCGGGTCGGCGGCGCTTCGTGCTGGGCTCGCTGGTGAGGGCGCGCGCTGTCGGGGCTTATAGGGCAGCTCCTTGAGCTCACGGTCGCCGTCCGACTCGGGCGACCCAGCGCCGAGAAGGGGATGCGCAATCGTCCCGGTCTGTGGAGGGCGGCGCAAGCTAAGGCCCGAGAAGAGGCCTGGCTTGGCGTCCATAGTGCAGTGTGTGATGTGATCGATGCTTCAAGTCAAGCGATCGTCGATTGTGGACATGAACTTGACCTTGGCCACCCACCACGTGGTCATCGCGTCATCCTCCGCACCTCGCACCAAGGCGCTCAGCCACCTGATAACAGGCAAACAACCCATGAACCCATATGCAAAGCATGATCAACTACTGCTACTCCTCCTTGGCCTCGCCTGCTCCCTCTGCAGCGCCATTGGCCTTCTTCCGCCGCTTGATATGCCGCTGGTGGCTCTCCTGCACGAAAGAAGATGGAATTCTGCTGTCAGCTTCATCGAGGCTAACAGCCCTTCAGACTCACACGCTAGTTGCGTGAAGAAGATACCCTCCCATTGCGCTCGTCGTCATAAGTGGGTGGGTGCGTCCCGGAAGCACCTGATATGTACGGGACCATGACTCGGTGAGCTGCGTGGCGAGGTAATGAGGGTTCTTGCGAAGGTACTGGAGCGTCTCGGCAAGCACCTGTTGGAACGGCGAGTACACAGTGAGTGTCCCCGAGCCAACAAGATAACGCGTGAGGCGGTTAATAACGGAGATGGGTGACATCTCGGTGGCGAGGACAATTCCGTCCCATCCGCCAGCGTGCAGTTCGGCGCGCGTCGCGTTCAACTCGGCCACCTGAGCTCGATGGCGTCTCAACCTGGCCGCCGTCTTCGCCTCGGCGATAGCCGGCATGCCGTCCTCTCCTGGTGGCGCTGGGCGCTCATACTCCTCATCGGCTTCCATCCAGTTCAGCCATTTGATGCACGCAAGCTCGCGCTCGCTGAAGTTCATGACATTGAGCACGCCCCACGCGGGCGGCGAGTCTGCGTCCGTGAAGAGTAGGATGCGGCCCTCGCAGCCCATGCGGTCGGCGAGAGCTGCCGTCACCAGGCCACCGGTGTCGTCCACCACGAGGTAGCGGCCGCCGGGGCGGACATTGCTCAGGTTAAGGAGCTGCGAGAGGGTGTCCTCGCGCAGGAAGAGAATGCTCTGCGCTGACCGCTGCGCGTAGTGGTTCACGACGTTGATGCTTGATGGCGCAAGAGGGTGAATAGTCTGCAGATACCTGCTGTCAGCTTATGCACTGCAAAGAGGCGAGCTCACTTCTTCTCTTTCCGCTTGCGCCACTTCTCCTTGCTAAAGTCGGTCTTGAGCTCAAATTGCTCATGCCTCTCCATCTGCCGCCGAATCATCTCCTCCGCGCCAACGCCTTGCGCCTTGAGCTCGTTGATCTCATCCTGCGTCAAGAGGGCGCCTCGGTTCTCCTCGGAGTCGTCGATGAACTCGTTCGTCTCCTTGATGTCGTCTGCATGTCAGCCGTATGACCACCTGCTGACTTACCTATGACAGCATCAACCATGCCGCGCGGCCGCAAGGGCCGCAGCATATTCTTGAATCCAGGTGCGTCACCCTTGCCGCCCTTCTTCGCGCCCTTCTTCTTGTTCTTCTTCCCCTTCGCCTGCCCAAAAACCGCCTCCTCCCCAACCTCGGCCTCATCGGCGTCGGCGGGCGCGTCAGGGTTTGGCACAATCTCGTAGGTGATGTCGTAGTGCAGGCCGACGAGGTACTTGGCGGGAAATGCGCCGAACTTGCCCAGCTGCACGAGACCCTCCTTTGTCGCGACTACCGCCTTGACAGTGTCGCTGGGAAGACGGAGCAGAACGTTATCACCCTCCTTAATGATTGTTGTTCGCCGGCGAAGGAGCTCCTCGAGCGGCTCCTGGGGCTCGTCCTCCTTGCTCTGGCGTGGCGGGCGGGAGCTTGATGCTTCCGGCTGGACAGGCGGGGCGGCCACGGCGGCGGCGTCGCCACTGGCAACAGGTTTCTCAGCCTGCTTAGCCTCGTCTACCAGCAACATCTTCTCGACCATCGGGCTTGACTCCATATTGGTGAGACGGGGATTGTGTAGTGTTGTCGCGGAGTACTGGGTTCGCAGAAATCTCAAGGTGGTGGAGGTCAGTCACGTGTTGTCGCCCACGGAAGCAATTCAGCATGAATGATGTTCAGAGTTCGAGCACAAGCTCGCAGCAACACAGCGGTGACTGACTCCTCACTCCTCCTCGACATCCACAGCCACGACAAAGCTCGTCAAAATGGTGCGCACAGGACTTTGGATTTAGCTGACCTTAGGCTGCCAACATCTCCATTCAGCCAACCTCCATGAAGGACGTGACGAAGATGGAGCGCATTGGTGAGCTCCTCGGCGCTTGGAAGTCTGACAGTAGGCGCGCATTCGCACATCCATGGTCTCGGCCTCGACGCCAACCTCGAGCCACGCGACTCGGCGCAGGGCATGATTGGGCAGGGCAAGGCGCGCAAGGCCGCCGGTGTCATTCTTAAGATGGTGCAGGAGGGCCGCATTGCCGGCCGCGCGATCCTCATCGCGGGCCCGCCGAGCACGGGCAAGACGGCTATCGCGATGGGCATGGCGCAGACGCTTGGCGCCGACGTGCCATTTGTCAACCTCACGGCATCTGAGGTGTTCAGCCTCGAGATGAGCAAGACGGAGGCTCTCACGCAGGCGTTCCGCCGCGCCATCGGTGTGCGCATCAAGGAGGAGACCGAGTTGATCGAGGGCGAGGTTGTCGAGATCCAGGTCGACCGGAGTGTCACTGGCGTGAGTTTGCGAGACGGCATAAGGGTATAGCTGACATCAGGCGACCAAGACAGGCCGCTTGACGCTGAAGACGACAGACATGGAGACGGTGTACGACCTCGGCTCCAAGATGATCGACCAGTTGCAAAAGGAGAAGGTGCTCGCCGGCGACGTTATCAGCATCGACAAGGCTAGCGGGAGGATATCCAAGCTCGGGCGGAGCTTTGGGCGGGCAAAGGACTACGACGCGATGGGCGCAGACGTGAGCCAGTGCGAGTGGAGAGAGCTGACAGCAGACCAAGTTCGTGGCATGCCCCGACGGCGAGTTGCAGACCCGCAAGGAGGTGGTGCACACGGTGTCGCTGCACGAGATTGACGTGATCAACTCGCGGACGCAGGGCTTCCTGGCGCTTTTCGCCGGCGACACAGGCGAGATCAAGCCTGAGCTGCGCGACCAGATCAACGCCAAGGTCGGCGAGTGGCGCGAGGAGGGCAAGGCCGAGATTGTCCCCGGTGTGCTCTTCATTGACGAAGTGCACATGCTGGACATCGAGTGCTTCTCGTTCCTGAACCGCGCGCTCGAAGGCGAGCTGGCCCCGCTCGTCGTCATGGCCAGCAACCGCGGCATCACGCGCATCCGCGGCACCAAGTACAAGAGCCCGCACGGCATCCCCGCCGACCTGCTCGACCGCACGCTGATCATCTCTACGGGCAAGTACGCCGAGGGCGAGATCCGTGAGATTGTGAAAATCCGCGCGGATGAGGAGGACGTGCGGCTGTCGCTCGACGGCCTCGAGCTGCTCGCCAAAATGGGCGGCGACACGTCGCTGCGCTACGCGCTCAACCTCATTGCGCCGAGCCAGCTCGTTGCGCAGCGCCGTAAAAGCGCCCAGGTCGACGTCGACGACATCCGCACCGCCTACCGCTACTTCCTGGATGTGGACCGCAGCGCGGCGTACGCGCGCGAGACGAACGGCATGATGTTCGGCGAGGAGGAGGAGGACGTGGACAAGAAGGACGTCATGTCGATGGACACGAGTGTGTAGAGCGAGATCGTGTCTACGGCACAGATAGATATGTATACGATATTGAGACAGGCTATGAGGACGACATCTGGACGCGCTAACGCTCCGCCTCACCGCTGACTGACCTACACCGCAGCACCGTCACAATTAACGTCGTACCCTGGCAAGAACTGTGCATAATGTCTACTCCTACTTCTCCATGGCGGCGGTGCGCTTGCGCTCGGCCTCGGCAATCTCGTCTGCGGTCCTGGCGTCGAAGACGCGCAGCCAGCCGGCCCACGCATCGTCCCACGCGACGGGGGTAGATGGGCGGACAATTTCCCAGCCCTCGCGCCCCCCGCGCCACCGGAGCTCGCGCTTGCGGCGCTCGGCGCGCAAGTCGTCCTCAGTGACGACGGGCTTGTCCGTCGCCTTCTCCTCGTCCGTGAGCTCGCGCTCGCCGCGCGCAAACTGGCGCGCGCTCTCCAGCCGCTCCGCCAGGGTCCGGTAGTAGTCCTGGCGCTGCTTGGCCTGGCGGGCGGGCACGTTCTCGTAGTCCTTCTTGTAGAAGCGCTCTGTGTCGGCGCCAAAGTCGGTGTCGGCCGGCAGCTCGGGGGCGAGGTGTGCGTCGGCGTCCGTGGACTTTGAGGGGCCTTCGAACGCGCGCGTCTGGTTCGTGATCAGTGCATATGCGGCTTCGGCGCCCTCGCGCACGCGGTGCCGCTCCGTGAAGAAGTTGTAGATCATGTACGGGATCTGCGCGAAGCCAAGGTAGTTCGTCCACGGGACGAGGAGGAGGGGCGGGTGGGGCGGGAGCGGGGAGGGGGGCGCGTGCAGGTGGGGCGGGACGGCGGCGCCGGGGCCGACGGCGGCGGTGGGGGCGGGGGGGGCGCGGCGGAAAAGGGACGTGCGCGCGGCGGCGGGCGCGGGCGCGACGGCGGGGTCGACGCCTTCGGGCGTCGGCGTGGGCTCCACCCACGTCTGGAAGACCGTGTCCCACTCGAGCTGGTCTTCGATCTCCTTCTCCCACGTCCATGCGTCCACGCCGTTGCGCCACCCGGCACGCAGGCCGGCAAGATACTCTTTCAGCGCGGGGCGGCCGACGAGAACCACGCCGCCCTCGAGCCACCGCTGGTCCTCGCTCTTCGCGGACAGCGCGGCGACCTGCGGCGGCACGCCGAGGTTGGCCTCCTGCGGGCGCGGCTGGAGGCCGAGCGCTTCGCGGCGCTTGCGAAGCACGTCGGCGCGCACGATGCGCGCAATCGAGCCGTACAACGGCGCTTCGACCTGCTCGTAGTCGACGGCGGCGGCGACGAGGTAGGGCTGGGGTCAGACGGAGGCTGGCGTCCACCACCCGCTCAACTCACCTTGATGTACTTCCGGAAGTAGACGAGCGCGCGATTCGCTTCGTCGTCCTCAGGCCATCGCGCACCATACACAAGCACCTTGCGAGGCACATCGAGGCTGCCGACCGTCGGCTCTTTGGCATAGTGCTGCACCTTGGCGATGTACTCTTCGCGAATGGCCTTGGCCTTGGACCGGTCGTCGTAGTACAGGTACGTGAGGCCGCCGACGACGCCGAGGAACACGGTCATCTTGGGCCCAGGCAGCTTGGGCTTCCATGTCAAGACGCCGCGCGGGAGGCCGGTGTACTGCAGCACGCCGCGCCAGCCCTCAAGCGGCGGGGGTGGGAGGCGGGGTCCATGGCCGACGAGCGGCTTTTCGGGGACGGGGATCGAGGGCTTGGTCGATGCGGCTGCCGGTGCGGCAGGCGGCGCAGGCCCCGAAGGGGGTGGTTCTGTCGCCATCGTGTGAGTGAGGAGATGAGAAGAGGATTGCGGATCGCGGATCGCGGATCGCGGAGTGGCGCGAATCGCCGAATTTCTGAAAAGTCCGCCCAGTTTGAGGCCAGGCACGCTGGTGGAGGTCGTCACTTGACCAGTCAGTACGACCATGTCAGTGGGGCGTAGAGGTCTGCGGCACTGCATGTGGCTACTGTTCATAGGGCGTCGAGCTTCATGCATGCTGTACCTACATCTCGAGTGCATGTGCGGGGAGCGAGTTTTACAAGGAAGAAAGGCACTTCTATGACCAGCCCAGACCCAAGTCAAAACGAACTGGTGCATTGAATACTACACAAACCAAAAAGCGCTATTGGTACATGTGAGACGGTGGTGTAGGATGTGGAAGTGATGTGGAAGTGAAAGAGCATGGTGCTCCGAAACGCCCGGTACTGGCTGCGGGCATTTTCATGGTTTTGCGGGGTTTGATCTCACACATATATCATGCTAGCGACGTCCGTATGGCGGCTGCTGGTAGCCGTAGCTCGGGTGGTTGAACGCCTGGTTTCGGTAGGTCGAGACATTGTACTGCGGCGGCGAGCGATTCTGCATATGCGAATGGTCGACCGGCAACGCGGGCGCGTACGCGGCGCCGTGGTCCATGGCTATGGGCGCGGGCCGTGGAGCCTGCACGGGAGGCGCCGGTGCTTGCGGGCGCGGCACGTACGCGGGCGGCGGTTGGACCAGCTGGTCCGCCACCAGCTGGGGCGCTGTCTGGGTCGACCCCGGCGAGCGCTTGATGGGCGACATCTCCTTGTCCTTGTCTTTGTTCTTCTTCTTCTTCTGCTTCTTAGAGCGCAGGCCTGCGGCGACCACCGACTCCTCGCCGCGCGCGGCAGCGGCGTCGTAGTAGTTCCCATCGCGGTCCTCCTCGCGCTGCCGCTTGCGGATGCGCTCTTGCTGCGCCTCGTCGTCGCTCCCCGCGCCGCTGAACTCTTCGCGCGCTGACGTCTCCCCGGGCAGCTTGCCGGCAGGCACCGTTTCAATGTACGCGTAGATGGCCTTGAACAGGTTCGTGTTGGCGCGGATGTCGCGGAAGTCGTCACGGAGATGTTCACGCATCTTGGTGATCTCCTTGGCGAGGCGCAACATGCCGTACGAGTTCATACGCTTGAAAATGAGGAGTCCGATGCCCATGAATTCTGGGTGTCAGCGTGATCTTACGTCAAGCATCACAGCGAACTCACCGACGGGGGCCACACGCGACTCGATGGTTCCAAATGCGACGTCGTAGTAGTCGGTCGAGATGGCGACGAAGATGGACAGTGTCATTTCGACCTTGAGCTGGAACGAGCGTTCCGGCTTGTCGCCACGCTCAAGGAACTTGGTCATCGTCGTGCTGTGAGGCACTGTTTTGCTTTCGGGGTCGTACACCATCATGACGAGCGAAGCCAGAATTTGGAATGGACGGCCGCGAGTAACGTCAAACTTTGGCAGTGTGTCCTTAAGGCCGCCGTTGGCATTGATGTACTTCTTCTCGAGCTGCGTGATCCAGGTGGACCAGTGGCCGCCGAGTGCCTGCAGCTTCTCGGCAGCGGAGAGCGGCATGCCGAGCTGCACACGCTCTGTCGGTCAGCGATGAAAGGCTCGGGGACTCACGGAAGATGTCGCGCTGCTGGTGGATGTCCAAGTGACGGTACTCGACGACTTGTATACTGAGCTGGTCGAACCGTTGTTTCAGGACGATGGGAAGGGGCTTGCCGCCCTTCTGGCCCGGGCAGTCCGTGTACCAGAACTTTTCGCGTGTGTTGGGCGAGATGAAGGGGATACGGCCTTCAATAAAGCGCTGGATCGAGGTGCAACGCTGCTTGCCGTCGATGCAGACGCGCACCTCGATGCCGAGGTCCTCGTTCATCTGGACGGCGAAAATGACCGGCGGAACGTAGTAGTGCTAGCGTCAGCGCGACCCAGGG